CCACCATGACCCATACTCTGGGACCAATGATGAGAAGGTGATGGCAGGGCAGACGCCCCAGGCTCTGCCTGGCAGGGAGCTCACGACCTGGTCCATCAGCTGATATGGCACAAGAGGGTGAGAAGAAAGATCCCTGGACCTCTGGCATTTCTCTGGGCTCGGGCTAGCCTCTCGCTCTCTGGCTTAGCCCTGAGTCGCCTTCCAGAAACGTGACTCTTGAAAGAGCTGGCTGAGTGGAGGGCACAGGAAAGTGAATGCGTGTTGGATGAAGACATGGACAAGCATCGGGAAACCCTCTATTATACCTCTATGTCTTCCTTTCTGAACTACGGAACCCTTTCTGCTAGGGGCCATTACCTAGCCAGATAAACGAATTTTACACCTTCATGTATTAATTCTATAAACATAACCACTATATAGCAGGCACAGAGCTAGATACTGGAGTTACTAGATGAAGACACAGACTCTGGCTTCAAAGAGCATGCACTCTAGTAGGGGAGACTGACAAATAAATAAAAACCATGCTACAGAATTAGCTAAGTTCTATGACAGAGATGAGTCAAGAATGCCATGGCCAAGACCGTCCAGAGAAGGCATATCTAATTCAGGCTGGGGAGTCAAGAAGGGCTTCCAAGAAGAGGTGACACTAGAGCAAAATTCTGAAAGATGAGTAGGAGTTAAGGACAGATATTTCACACAGCAGGAAGAACACCTAGGAAGGCAGAAAATCTTAAAATTGGGTGATATGCCAGTGAAGAATAGGACGTTCTGAATGGCTGGATGAACGCGGCCTGGCCTATAGAGGAGAGGGGAATGCAGACAATGGCCCGACATGATGCTAAAGAGGTTGCTGGAGACCAAATCAAGCAGAACCTAGGTGGGAAAAACCTAGAAAGCAAGTTAAGGGATTTAAACTTCATCCTAAAACCCATGGAGGACCACTGAAGGAGTTTAAATATGATGGGCAGGAGATATACACTGAGTTCATTTAAGAAGGACAGAATGGCAGTACAGTATACTTAGCATACTTAAATAAAAAAGGTTGACAGATAAAAGACCATTAGGACCCCAGGCAAGACACCGTGTGGGCCTAGACCTAGGTTGTAGTCTGGGCCAAGCAACAAGGGGAAACCTGAGAACAGTTCCAGAGGCAGAATCAACAGGACTCGGTGAACAACAGCTGCAGAGGGAGAGAAGAGGCAATCCAGGTGGCCTCTGGGCTCCTGGTTTGGGTGACTGGAGTAACAGCCGTGCAATAAAATTAAAAATACAGGAAGAGAAGCAAAAGGGGACCGACGATGTCCGTTACAGCAAAGCAATCAGGAGAAACACTCCTGGAAAAAAAGAATCTCCTGTCGTCCAAAGGGCTAACTGGGAGGGGACGGCCGATGCGAGCCTGGTTCAGGAAAGGCAGCCGGGGTGGTCGCACCAGGGGAGCGGGTTAGGGGGCTGGGTGAAAACAAGTGAAGGGCTTGGGAAGTACAGATTGGCAGTTACAAAATAGTGTCGGGGGTGTAAAGCACAGCATAGGGAATACAGGCAATCCCACGGCAGTAACTGTGTGTGGTGCAGGTGGGCACTGGAAATATCAGGGGAACACTCTGTAAAGCACTGGCTGTTTACTATGCTGTACACCTGAAACCAATACAAAACAATATTGAAAGAAAACTATTATAGAGAAAGAAATAGCTGATGCCCCCTCCTCCAAGGAAGCCTTCCCCAGGCACTGTCCCACCCCCAGCAGAACTGCCCACCCCTCCTGTGCACCAGGTACATAGTTACCGTGGGCAGGAGGGAAAGAGGGCGCATGAAAGGAAAGACAGAAGGAGGGACACAGTGTGCAATCTAGCAGTCACGCAAGAGGACCTACTGGGTCCTCTCTCCATTCTCGGCAAGGACAACCGCTTCCCCTTTCCTTGACCCCACAATGGCTGTTGGCCTCAACTGGGGTGAGCCCCCCACTAGGCTACGCCAGCCCACACAGCCCTGCTTCCTCCTCAGGCCAGAGAGATGGAACCCCAGCTCCTCCTAGAGCAGGTCCAGGGTTACCAGGAAAGACACACCTACAGGCCCCTCCCTGGGACATCACGCCATGCCTCTTTGAGTAGAAGCTGCAGAGGACCCCGGTAGGGTAGCCTCACCCCCATGGGAAGGCTGTGAGGCCAGGCTTGTCCTAATCTGTAGAGTCCCAGGTTCTCTGAGAGGAGCTGGTGCCATAACCCAACATACAGAAGGGAAGAGTGCACACACAGGACCAGGATGGACAGTCAATGAGGACACTGCCTAAATGTCCCCAAGTCTTCCCCATCTTTTCCCTATCAGTGTACAAATAAACAAAAATCTACAATGACATCTTCAAGTGGCAGTCACTAAGTCACCACCTTCCCATCACCTTAAGGGAACAAGATAAAATGTTAATACAGGGGGAAGGGAAGAAGGGGCCCCTGGCTTGTGTCCATCACTCTGTTTCTTTCCCAAGAGTGCCTCAGAAATCTCCCACCTGAAGACACATGAAGACAGGTCGGCAGCTACAACCGCTTGCCAGAGCTCTCATCTCCAAAGGTTCTAAATCTCTGGCCTTCAAAAAAAATCTCCTCTGGAGTTTTCCATTGCTTTTGCTGTCTGCCTTTGGCCCAAGTTTAAGTCTAAATTTAGAAGTCAATACATGCATCTTTGAAAATGGATTTGCTCCTTTAATGTGAGATGACTTGGTGGGGTGTGAGAGCAAGCAAGAGAGGTGACGTTCTTTGGTGAGCAAGGCAGAGAGAAGATCCTGAGCCTTACACTCTGATTCTCCTCTGCGCACCTGCCCAAGGCTCTTGGCTCAGCAGAGAAAATGGAACAGAAAAAAAATACCCTGTAGCCTACTTCTAATTACCCATAATAACAGAAAAGCAAGAGGTAAGAAACAAATGAAACCCTTAGAGCATCACAGATTCTTATTTCAGCCTGCAAACACACACNGAGCAAGGCAGAGAGAAGATCCTGAGCCTTACACTCTGATTCTCCTCTGCGCACCTGCCCAAGGCTCTTGGCTCAGCAGAGAAAATGGAACAGAAAAAAAATACCCTGTAGCCTACTTCTAATTACCCATAATAACAGAAAAGCAAGAGGTAAGAAACAAATGAAACCCTTGGAGCATCACAGATTCTTATTTCAGCCTGCAAACAGACACAGNGCCTGCAAACACACACACACACACACACACACACACGCCCCAAAACTGTTACCAAACAGCAAACCCAGTTTAGTCTTCATTCTTGCTCCATGCCATCTGGGGGCACTTTTTGTCAGAGAACATGAGAATGAGCCAAAAGTTGGACAGAAAAGAGAAGAAGAGGAAGTCAGGGGCCTGGATAATTCATCGAAAGGATCATGGCAACTAATACATTAAATGAAAGAGGGGGCTCAGGGAGCTTCCCCAGGCCCATCACCTGTGCTCAGAGCTCTGGGAGAAAGGTGAGTTATTTGGTGTCAGGTGTTGACTAGACTATTGCCATGTGTTTACCCCTTTGTGGGTTGTTTGTGGGAAAATATTAGGCACCAATTGGCTTCTTGAATCTACTGTTAGGACACACTCACCCCATTCCCAAGCCCAAAGGTAGGCACTACATGATTTGAGAAGACAGAGGCATTTTAGAGACAATCAACACAACCGACTTAAAAAATGACTAATCCGATGGTGGGAAGACATCTCATGCTGCTATGCCAAAGAGCAATTATCAGGGGATTTTTCTGAGGTTTTGGATTATCCACCCTTCCATTCCATCTCAAAAGTGAATTTTAAACAAGCCTGAGTCAGCAAGACTCTTAAGACCCTGAATGCTAATGGAAGTGCTATACCGAAACCCCCTGGATCTGTGGGAATCTCATGATGAGAGAGTACATCCAAGGAGAAATGTCAAGTCAGAGAGCAATCCAGCCACGTGGCAGCACATTTTCCATCTCAATTTGATCCTCGTGGCCAGAACTGCAGTTTATAGGCTCATAATGAACAAGGCCTAGAGAATTATCACGTTCTTCCATCATAAACAGACTAGTATAAAATTTGACCTTGTCCTAAGCAGACCACCAAATCAACAGGGGCCAGGGGCACAGTGACATGATGAGTGGGAAGGTCTAAACGCAAATGCCATGGCATCTGAAATGGACAGGCTTACAAAGGCACGTCCAGGAGATGTTAGGCATGATCCACTAGCAGCATGCCTACACTGAGGACTAAAGCGTATGTGTATGTGTGTGTGTGTGTGTGTCTTACATTTTTACAATTTAAGGCTCATGTTACTACTACTGATTTCACGGACAAAGAGAATTAATATCTGGTTCCCTTGGCTAACAGGTAAGTGCGAGAGAGAGAGAGAGAGTGTGTGTGTGTATGCGTGTGTGAATGTACATCAAAACTCTTATCAGAAAGGAAATAGATCATGGAAGCAGGTTAAATGAAGTAANTGTGTGTGTGTGTGTGTGTGTGTGTACATCAAAACTCTTATTAGAAAGGAAATAGATCATGGAAGCAGGTTAAATGAAGTAAAGTGTTTTATTTCTGGAAGATAAGCTGAGTCTCACTGAATCAATCACACAAGGGAATCTCATTTATTACACGCAACGTGACTTATCTCTTCTTTCAGGTTTCATGAGAATCAAATGCAGACAGCAGGTGACATGTGAGGAGTGTCCCCTGTTGAGTACACCTTTCCCACTAAACAACACCTGCATACGTTCCAGTGGTGATGAACAGAAAACATTCCGGCTCAACCAAATCACACATTTTAAGTTGTTAAGAGAAAACTTGCAAAAATAAGTGTCAAAATATCTGATTACCTTTAAAATGTTATTTACTAGTTTATTCAGTTAAAAAAGCAAATGGCCTTTCTAGGTGGTAGCCAGATGACAATCATGAGTGAGTCTATCACCAAGTAACAGAAGTACAGCTGTTCTAGAATTCTGAGGCATCTCTTTTTCTAATCACCAATATTATTCAAACAATACATGCATGGGTTATGGCTGAGGCGAGAGCTAAACTATGGGGTCACAGCTGATTAAATGACACATATGGAAATATTACCCATGCTCATTAATACCAAGTTTCAAATAAATTAACTGGCTGCAGACTTACTCAACCACACAGGTAGGAAGGGGCTCAAATCTCTTTAACAATCTTGAAATGCCATTAGTCAAATCTAAAGAAGTGTGTATATAAAAAGATGAATGTGGCCATGGAATGCCTGCCTCATTTAGGTGACTGACATCTGCCATGTGAAAACCCAAAAGGATTCTGACGATACCAGAGGTGCCCAATGACCTTCTTCTAAACTTTATTGGAAAGAGTTGATCTGAAAAGGTATAAAGTTGATTCGAATGCTTTCCCAAACAAAGCTTTTTTCTCTCTCCTTCCCCTCCCTCAGTACATTCCAGAGCGATACAACACTTTACCCAACAGATATTAAAGTTTAAATCTTGATCTTTGTGCAGAGATTGCCTTGGCAACCTCAAATTCTCTGTAATGCAAGTCACAATACAGGCAAAAGAAAAGGCATAAATATATTTGTACAAATCAGAATTACAAACCTTTACATGAATCATCCTCAATTGGCTGCTTGAAAGCTGTTATGTCACTGAAAGTGCAAAGAAACAAAACCACTTTGTCCTGTTCGTTTCGAATTGGAGCGATTTTCACAAAGAACCACACAGGTGTCCCTGAAAGAAATATCAAAAGGTTGGTCAGTAATTTGCATTCTTGTTTGAGGGGCTATGGAAGCAAAGACTTGAGAGTGAATAGCTCCAAATACTAATTCTCTTTTTAAAAAGCTTTGTTCCTTCAGGTGTTGGGGTTATTATACCATTAATTTCTCTTCTTGCTGGAATAAAAACATTCTCTGTGACAACTCAGCGGGGCTTTTTTCTGTTAAAATAATTTTGTGAGTGCAGATCTCTTAACCCTTGTAAAACAGTTACAAAATGGGTTGAAAATCCCTCCTGATGGATGGTAGTAAGTAAGGTTCAGAGACAAAGGCTTACTTTAGACCATGTAGTGGACAAGTAAAGAGTAGGGACTAGAATGGGCACTGCCAACATGGCCAGCAGACCATGCAAACTCAAATTTCCCAGAGGGCCCCAGTGTCGAAATCCAGTTCGGGAATCCATCAATCTGGCTCACATGCTCAATCAATCATGGACCAGAAACTAAATTTCTAAGTCTCTCTCCCCAAAATAAAAATCCAAAAGGTGAAATATAATGGCAAACGTCAACACTTTAAGAAGGGAAAGAATCACCACAATGATTCTCCCAGCAAAGGCTCCCCCAGAAAGGGAAGATGCCAGGTGGTTTGGGGTTGTGATTACATTAGTGCCTTGAGGAGGCTCGATGAATGTGTTTCAACTTCCAGTCCTTGTTCCTGAGCTAAAGAGGGGGATAAATGAGCTCTTCCAAAGCACTGCCCTAGTCCACAGAAGAAGATGGGCAGGGCTCACCTGACTGGCTTCTCATATACCCACTCAGGGATCTCTGGCCAAATACCTACACAAAGTCAGTATCCAGCTTCCAAAACATAATGAGGGAAAACAAACAAGTGTGTTCTGTCTCTAGAGGGCATCAGCAATCTGTGATACAAAATTAAATGAGACACAAAGCAATGATAAGTTCTTACCCATCTAGTTCTTGTATCCCAGTCCCTAAAACACCATCTGGTATATAAGAACCTACTAACTATTTGTTGAATTTTCCATAACTGGGCTAGTATTTTACATATTATTTTATAACCATTTTCAAGTTAAAACACTGTAAATATTTCTCTTCATTGTTAAGTATTAGAGAAGCTTCCTACGTTCCAGGCACTGGGCTCAGTATTTCATTTTATTTTAGGAGATAGCAAGCAAATAACTCACTGAATCTTGGAGATAGGAACAGATCCCCAAGAGGTCACTGGGGTCTCTCTGCCTGCAGTCACATCAACCTCTATATTATACAACACAGACAGACAGATATATTTGATTAACATTAGGATTATCCAGTCTAACTTAATACATATACTAGTTTACATATCCAGCTACACCACTTATACATATGTATGACTAACCCATGTAAAATAGGCAGCAAATAGATTAAATGAGAAATGTTCACCTTACATCTTAATTACCTATGTGTTCCCCTATAGTTAATTTTAATTCTCTGTTCATTTTCCCTTTCCATATTTTTCAGCTGCCAGTTTCTGGGTGCTCTTAGAAGACAAATGGATTACAATGTCACCAAGAAAAATATGTTTTGAAAGAAAAATCCATCATACAAAAATCACAAATGGCTTTCCAAAATCAAGAAAATGTGGCCTCTGAATTATCCACTGTTTCTGGAAAGTTTGTGTTACTGCTTCTCCCAGTCCTCTCCTCAGAAACTGTGGGATTTTAAACCATTTTCAATTAAGCAACAGAAAACTCAGAAGCAAGCATCACACTGACTAAGCCCACATACCCACAGCTCTCAGGTTTATCCTGGCTGGTAAAACAACAAGCAAACAAAGCAAAAAACTATCTTCCTTTTACTCTAAAGAAAACTTTAAGTGACTTTCTCTTAAAGTGGCAAACCAGAAAGCACTTCTAATTTATCAAACTAGTAATAAATCAGGTGAGAGGCCCCCATGCATGGTGTCTAACACCAGGAGTGCTGTCTTGCTGGAATCCCCAGAACCCACCTATGGGCCCTCCACTGCGCTCTATCAGCTGTGCCCTGTACCTGTGAGAATTCCAGTTGGGGGTGTACGTCTAACCTTTATATTCCACTCATGACTAGTGGGGTTGATGACATTAACCCACATCTTCCAGATCACAAGAGCCACTACGTTAGTCATATTGGGAGCCCTTTCATTTTATCACAGTTCAAGCTCATGAACTCTCCTCATTTCAACAGTTGAGCCTATTAAAGCTGAATGCTTCTCTCCCCTAAATTGTGCCCACTGCTTGCTTCCAGGAATCTTCCCCTAGTAAACACATGCTACTCTGATGATCCCTTTTCAGTATCTAAATATGTATCTAGTACCAAAAATCCATATAGTCGGTATGTACTGCCTTAGAGTTCGTCTCCAGCTGATCATTTGGACTTGCTGAGGGAGGGAACCTCCTTTTCCCTGATCTGGTGTTTCCTTGCAGAAGGACAACTTTCCATATAACACTCCAGGCCTTTTTCCCGTGCTGGTAATTTGGGGGCAAGAATTGCGCCTGCGAAGCTCCAGCACTTCTCCCCTTCTACTGTTTTTTTTAATTCTCACCCGAGAACATTTTTCATTGATTTTAAAGAGAGGGGAGGAGAGAGAGAGAGAGAAACATTGATGTGAGAGAGAAACATCGATTGGTTGCCTCCCACACGTCCCCCAACCTGGGCCAAACCCAAAGCCTAGGTATGTGCCCTGCCAGGCATCGAACCCATGACCTATCAGTACATGGGACAATGTTCCAATCAACTGAGCCACCTGGCCAGGGCTTCCCCTCTACTTTCTTAGAGATTAGTCTGTGTTCTGCTCTGCTCCTCCATTCTATAAATGTGGGCTGAAGGGGTCAGAGGACAGGGGATATGGCTGCTAGAAGGACAAGTGAAGTTCTCTCGTGCTACCTGGGATGGATAGTTAGGTCTATCCGATTCTAGGATTCACTTTAAGAAACTGTTCATCTAAAAAAAATAAAAGTCAGTTATTTTACTGCAAAAATGGGCTTTTTCAGAAATAGCAAAGAATTACAATTCCAGACATGGAAGCTATGGCAAGACCACAGGCAAGTCTGCAGAACAAAGGAAAGAAACATTTTTTTTTTTTTCATGGAGGAAAGGGGGTGGGGGACTGTGGGGTTGGAAGGGGCTTTTACAAATACAGTCCACTGTTGAAAGCTGGGAGTTCCAAGTGTGGTGCTTTCCACTGACAGGGTTATGAAAAGGGCTAAGCTGCTGCCAGGTAGGGAGAAGATCTTCCTTCCTCCTGCTGGGGAGTCAAGTGGAAACAGCCCCCTGTTGCAGATGCGAGGTGTGGGTCTCTTCCTGTTTGGGGTAATCCATGATGAGTGGTAGGTCATGAGAGCTCCCCCTAGAGGCCCTCCCAACTCCATTTTAGTTGAGGTTTCCTTTATTTTCGAAAAACTCACTCGCGCACAGATATGAACCACATTTTCCAGGATCAGCTTTACTAGTCGTAAAGATGATATTTTAACTTCCCTTTGCTGAATTCCTATATCTCTCTCAACTAGTTCTGATCACAAGCAGGGAAAGATGGTGCTATCTATGGAATAGATAACCTTAACAATTGATAACTGTTTCTTTAAATAGATCATAATCCACTCCAAGAAGATCTGATCTACTTTCTGCCTTATCATCGGGCACCCCACATTCCAATGGCATCTAATGCAGTGTTAGGCATAGGGTCACATTAGGCCATTACATGGCCTAACTCCAGGAGCCGCCGTCCTGGGATGGTGAAACTCAACGACCTTGGCAGGGTAGGTGCTCTAGAAATGCTTGCTGAGTTTCAGAGTAATAAATGCTGCTTCCAGTGTCTTCACAGTCACTCAGACCTGCCTCTCTGCCAAATTATCACTACCCAAATAATCTAGAAAAGCACGTAGAATGGGTTTAAATAGTCACTTCTGAAAGTCTTCCAACAGAAACCATGAGTCCCTCCTAGGTGTCACAGAGCAGATTTTTCTCTTAAGAGCAAAGTATTTTTAACTAATAAAATACTACTCAAAGCTTCAATATATTAAACAACTGCTTCAAGTGAATATGAACCATCCGAAGTAGGAGCCCCACCCACCCAGTTTCCTTTCCACCTGTCTGGATGCCCTCGAGGATATTCCCGAGCCCTTTGGCTCCGTTCAGATCTAGATCTGCGCAGAGGCAGAGGCCAGGGCAGCTGGCCTCCCTGGATCTCTCTTGGAGCCCAGATTCTGCAGCAAGATCCATTATATCAAGATACAAGAAAGAAAATAAATGCACAAATATTCACACACACACACACCCCACACACAATTGCAAAGAAGAGTTTAAAATTCTGCCTCCTCCGCCCAACTAGGTGCAGTGGAAAAACCAAAAAAAAAACAACAACAGGCACTTGATGTCCTGTTTCTGTGAAAAGAACAAAGGGCCAATGATAAAAATTCTACTACAGGAAGATCAATCCACAGACCCAGGAGACACACAGCAGCTGACAACCCTGCTGAGAGCAACGGCGGCGGCTGCGAGAGCGGCCCTTCCCTGGAAGACGGTGCCCAGTGCCGGGGCAGCCAGTTCAGGCTCCTCCTGGCCACGCCATGATTCTCAGCCCCACGTAGCTCCCTCGGGTCATGGAATGATGAAGCTGACACCCAAGCTGGCTGTGGGGGTTTGCAACCCCAGCTGTCAGATAAAACAGCAAGGCTCAGGTGTGTGGTCGTGTTTTGGGCCTCTATCGTCTGCTCCCTACCCTGGGCCTCCTCTGGGTACTCTCTGCACCAGGCAGCCAGGCAGCCAGGCCACATCCGACAACAACAGAATCGGCCAAACCACTATGACTGGCTCTTGGTTAGGGCTGCGTGAGCTGGGCCACTCGGACAGGACCGGGGGTTGGCGGGGCGATGGCAGCCTGCCCCAGGAAACACACCAGTTGGTCTGCGGTCAACTTCATTAAGACAAATGACTGATGGAGGGGGATGAGGCAGCACCAGCGGGGCGCAGTGGCCACCGGCCA